GCAGCCTGCAGCATTTTGGGCATTGCAGCAATCAATATGGTGATGTCATTTGTTTATTTTATTTACTTACTTATTTATTTATTTATTTATTTATTATATTTATTACCTATACAAGAATATGTGCTGGTGCATTCTTACAAACAACTGGAACTGAGGGGGAAAAAAAGAAGACCTTCACGTTTGAAATCTTTGAGGGGCTTAGCCTTCCAAAATGATGCTGCCATAGCAACGACACAGAGTCCGTTACAAAAAAAAGAAGAAGAAAACATCCAGACTCCTCTGAAGCAGATGAATGACTGCCACAGATGGATGCCGAAGAAAAATAAATGGATATGTCAATGAGAAATGAGGCATTAAAGGAGTCGTGCAGAGTATATATGATAATACAAAAGCCTACTGTCATTATCAGAGAGCGCAAGCAGTCCAAAACTCATCTTACATCATGTGTAGAGAGCAGTGTCCTATTAGTGCTGGTCTACTGGACAAACACATCGGCAACGAGCGAGAGTCCATTTACACTTGTTTTTTGTCAATAATTACAAGTAAACAATTCACTTCTTTCTAATTGGCGCACTCAGTGGTGCCTGCGTCCTCCCTGTCCTTGTACTGTACCTGTGTCAAAGTGGACCGATTCTCATTGTTATCATTATTATTTGTCCTCTGCCATATGTCTACAATCCATTTGATCCAAAAAGCCTTGATTTCAGCCTGGTCAAACACTCAGTTTTAGACAGTTTTTTCTACTAGTGGCTCTGTGTGACCTCACTGAGAGGGGCCCGCCCTCATTTAAACATTCAGCTCACAAACCCCTCACATCTGCAGTTTGCAAAGAACTGCCAATAAGAAGAGCTTTTGCTCGCAGGGAGGGGCGGGGCAGTCGAAGCCTGCTGGACAAGATTATATTGCCAGCATGTTTGAGTACAGTAACAACACACCAGTTTGGATTGTGCTCATGTGTCCAATAAACTAACAAGCGATCCAGAAAACCATGCTAGGTAATCTAGCTGTGCGTCACCCGCTCTTCACAGAAACCAATGCACTTTAGTGTCTGCGCACTCTGACTATTAAACATTTTGTAATGCCCATCTGTTTGTCAATTCAGACGCTGCAAAGCGCCATTTATTCCATTTCTTACTTTGATCCATCAGCTTGCTAATTTTGTCCTTTTTTGTAATCTGCCGCAGCGACGCACCTCCACTAACGTATTAGCAACGACCTGTGTCTGGACTGACAGGAGCCACTCTACCTCAAGAACTAAGAAGAGGCACGTTCCCATTTTAATCAGCCTCTTCCAATTCTTCAAGCTTTTCCGGTTTAAAGAGCGGATCCACTGTTAAGCTAGTCCGTTTCAACAGCGTCACAGTCAATTAGTAAAACAGAGAAAACAGGTTCGGCTTGTGATTAGCAGTAACCCGGATGAGATCACAACGACTGGTCATCAATTTAGAATGTGCTTACAGGCCACGTAGTCCTGTGAAGGCGTAATGAGATTCAGTGATACATCCATTAACTCTATGTTCCACGCTCCTCTGAGTCTTAGATCCTTCATATGTGCAAACAGGCTGCCACAGTTATTTAATATTTCCCTGTTATACATCCAATAATTGTCCAGTTTGTCACAGTGCTTAAAGTTAGCTGGAGAGTGGAAGGCAAATTCACATGTATGCAGATTTTAATTTCTTCCAGTAGTCCTAAAAATGTCTTCATGCGCCTTCAAAGTACCGAGTGACACACATACAAACTTCTTCTAACAGAAGGAAGGTATGAACAACAGCACCTCCCTGAGGACTTCTGTGTACAGCCAGCTTTACTAATTCATTCCAACTTTGCTAGACAAACATTTAATTTCCCCAGCATTCATCAGATGAGTCTCCAGTTCTCCAGACAGCGCATCAGCTGTCATAACGCTGAAGATCTCGCAGCCTAAAATTAGCAGCAGCTCCGATTACTCCACAGCGAGAAGGCTTCCTAACCCACTGGGAAACCTGCTGTCACTGATTTGTCAATAGCAAAAAATAAACAGTGAGGGACAAAATCAGACGCAGTAACACTGACAGGTAGGGCTTTTTAAAGCGCTGTGAAAGCGTGTGATCGTGATGACCATTTCATCGCACTCTGTCACAATACCGCCCTGCATCTGTTGACTGCTTAGCGACCCGTGCTAGGAGACATCAATCTACCCGTCGGCATGCTTTGAACACTTCAGCCCCATCTGCCTCTGGCTCTGCTGCATCTTGCCCGGGAGGGCTGGCATTGAGCAATGATTTTATGGGTTCTGCATGCATTTGATAAGGACACACACACACACACACACAGAAACACCAATAAAAAATGTATGATTTCTTGCAAACAAAAGTATATAACAAGTTCCCATAAATGGATGAACAGTATATGGCAGAAACACTCAATCGTATCTTGTGGAGCTGTGGTCAGTCAAAGAAAATCTATTTGTAAAATGATACTGTACAATGCTTCAACCAAAAATCTGCATTCTACCTGCTCTCCTGCTTTACCTCAATGAATTATAGATAAACATAAAAACCCAGCATATTAAATCATTTTAACCTAGTTATTTTACACTAAAGCAACACCAATGGACAGCTGACCTTCTGCCCATGTTTGTAAGATTTCCAAAAACAGAACTACGGTAACCGGTGATCCCAACACAAGATGAAGATGGCTAACAGGCCCCATTACATGCTTTTCTGTTTTTAAGGGGAGAGAAGGCTTCACATCCAGCTCGGTCTGGGTCTAGCTGCTGCTACTGGCAAATTCCAGAACTGGAGAAGATGCTAAATGCCAAAGACACTGAAATATGTGCCAACTCTGATATATTTACTCCCAAAGCCTCAGGCCTGAAGCACAAAAGTTGGCCAGCCATTTTCAGAGGATATACTGTTTTGTTTGTTGAAGTGAGATATAGCTGACGCTTGACTCTTTGGCCTTTTTGGGGTTTTTTCCTCAGAAAAAAAATGTTATGCAGACAGTCTTATTTAACATGTCCCTCTTTTCCAATAATCCTGGTTCTGAGAAACAGCCCATGTATGGACAGGTAAAACAAATGATTTTAACCGGAGAGTATCAAAGGCGGACACAGCTTCCCGGTCTACAAAGGGAAGCCAACACAAAGTGCTTTCAACCTGCATTCTTTCCAATGGCAGGCAAGGTGTGACTTTTCTGGTTGTGTTGAAGTCTACACAACCACAAAACAGTGCTTGGCCCCTTTTGCCTTTGACCTCAGTACACTTCCCTTTGTCCACTTTGCAAAGCTAACAATGAACAGAACTTTCCATTTGATCAATTATGGTCATTCTAAGAGGCAGAAAGAATGATTATTCTGGACATGCTCATTTGCTCAGGATTTGAGATTAACAAGCTTTTATCCAATAAGTTTGTTCAGTTAGGGTGTTTTAAGAGAAAAATCCAAGCAAACAAAAATGCATGACTACAAACCACATGAGAATGAGTCCCCTCATTGGACAGATGGAGTTTGTTTGGAACCATACCGAGACCACCTCCTCCAAAGGATCTTGGTGGATCCACCTTTTGCTCTGTCTCAGACCAGCTTCAGCCACCCCCAAGACCGTATACTGGGTAAATGGTCATGGATCCAACCCAGAGTGCTGCTAATGTAACGTTTCCTTCAGAGGTTATACCTCTGGCTGTCCAACCAATCAGAATATGATCATATGTGACTCAACCCGACCAGCAAACCTCGAGATGACAGCGATAACATCTAGAGGCCGACTAATGCCAATTTTTTAAGGGTAAAAGATTCTGATCTTCATATACATATTTATACTTACATTTATACACTCTGCAATGCCAGGTGCTCAGCTGCAATGAGCACTGAGAGCATTGTAACAATGGAGCTAGGATGTACTAATGTCTTTCCCTCTATTTCATTTTTATCTCTCTCTCTGTGTGTACGTATTGCTCGCTCACACAAATGTCTGCAATTCCTCAACAGACTGCATTAGCACGCCACCTTTATCCCCCTTAAACATCTCGGCGGGTCTTCAAAGTTTCTAGCTGGTTGCCGGCGAGGTAAATAACAACTCCTCTGTGACAACATCTATTTAGCACAAGGACACATTTCCACATATTTCCCTCTGCCTCCATTTAAATGCTTTCTCGCCACAGAGGAGATGTCCCTATCTGCTATATAGGGCAGGATAGCTGCCTAAACCAAGGAGAGCCTTCCCCTTCTCTGCTGTAGATAAGAACAGAGGTCTTCTTGTCCCTGTTGAATTCTATCATCTAGAAGGCCCTGCTGATCCGAATGCCCCACAACATCAGCCACAGCATATAAATGCACCCCATTCTTCGTGCTGTGTGTCTGTGTGCATTTATCTGTGTGTGTGTGCGTGTTTGTAGGGGAGCATTTAGGGGAATATGTTCTCATGGCCAAGGCGCTTCCTGGGGTCTTTTGAGAATAAAGGTCAGATGAAAACAGGCTCAATTTAAGTTGCTTGCGAGAATTCCCATGGTTTCCTCCTTCATCTCTATCTTCCAGATAATGCCAAAAAAAAAAGGCACAATGAGCAATTCTCTGCAATCTCAGAGAAGCTCTATTGATTAGAAAATGCTACAAATGCTGCATGTAATCCAGGGGCACAGTAATAAGCTGAGCCTGACCGAATGGCAGCCTCTGTTTCTCTCATCCCACCAGAAGAGCTCTGAGTGCAGGTCCCTCATTAATGGCACAGCGGATGCATCTTCTGTGTGATTATGGAGGAGCTCATCTGCACGAAGTGTGGTTCATTCTCAACAGGTCCACAGCAAATATACATACTTTTTTTTTTTTTTAAAGCATGCTGGGGGGAAAAGACTGCAAGTAACACAACATATAATTCATTCCAGGCATGTTTTTTTTAGGGGTGGGGGTCAATGCATCCTCTCACTCAGCTGCTGACACACACTTTAGATATGAATCAAATTCGAAGAATTTTCAGTGAGAATAACCTCAATCAGCATCCACCGTGTAAACCTCAGCCTACCTGTTAACGTGGGATCCACGGGTGCTGGTAGGGCGCCAGATTCCCACTGCTGTTCTCTTCAGATTTCGTCCTTCTCCTTAAACCTTCCGCCAGCTCGCGGGAAAAACAAAGATAAAAATGAAAACAAATAAAAAATAAAAAAAAAGAAAATAGCTCAAATACTTTGGGGAGGGAGGAGAGGGGGGAGGTCCCCCTCGGCAGAGCTCTACCTCGTTCAGTCCAACCGGGCCGGCAGGTGGGACTTCATGGCTGGAGACGATGACAGAGTGGAGACTGAATCCCAAAAATAAAGCTGCCTCTACTGCAATACCCACCACAAACAGCTCGGTTTAGTAGGATTCTCCATACGAGCAGCCGAGCTCGGGTTGGTCCCCGCAAGAAATGAATTTCTCTGCTGACAGTCCAGCGTGCCACAGGACCAATGTCTCTTTTTATCGAGGCCTTTAAACTGCAAAATAACCCCGAAATAACCCGGACGTGTCTGCGGGGACTCGGCGGATTTGACAGCCGGAAAGTATCACCTGTGTTGACCAGTGGTCTCAGCTACTCAGGTTTACTCTCTCGGACTGTGTTTTCTTCTTATTTTCCTAGGACGTCGACGATAAATCCAAAATAAATCCCAGTAAAGACAGCCAAGACGCTGCCGAGCTTCCGGCTCGGCTCGCTTTAGCTTGTATCAGAAACGGCGGACGCACAAATCGCGGTGCTCCAGCAGTCTTGAAGAGAAGGATGCTGCCTCTGCCGCTGCTGCTGCTGCGAGGATGCCGTGACCGCTCCGGCTGGCCGTCGCGCGCTCGCGCACGTGCGCACCCTCGTAAGGCACGCACGCAGGCAGGCAGCTACGCTCGTCCCCGGCGTGTGACGCGCGCCGCAGTGTCCTCCCTAGCAAGCCGGTCGCCCTGGCAACGCTTTCCTCTGACCTCAATATGGTCGCTTTTTCTATTAAAGCGTGTGGCGTTCAGCGTGCTTTCGTTGACATATTCACTTGCTAGTGACAATAGGTGTTAATCCGCCCTCTTGTATAAAGGGTGTTCCTTCTTCTCTTCAAGGGGACTAAAAAAATAGTGCTGAGGAGTTTCTTTTTTTTTTGTCGGCATCACTCTCCTCCTTTCCTACGCTCGCACCCAGCCCGGCAGAGCTGCATCATCATGACGTCAGAGGATATTAAAGGGATACTATCCCATTTTTTTTACATCCTCTCCTCCATCACTCTGCATCTTTCTTTCCCTCTATCCCTTCACCATTCTCCTAACCTCCACCATTTCCTCATCCATCCACTTCAGTTCATACTGGCAGACTGGCTAGTGCTTACTGCAGAGACATATTTGAGGCGTGAATATCACATTGCCAGGGCCAAATGAGACAATAAACTAATTTTACAGTGAAATCGCGGGAGATAAAAATGATACTCCCGACTTCACCAGCTTGCATGATTATTTATTTTATATTTTACTTTAAGGGATAATAATCATCAAACATCCAGCACGGCTGGGTCCCTGATCTCATCAGTGCAGATGGTAATGGCAGTGTGGTGGCAGCACCTGCTCCTCTGGATGCAACACAGCCACATGCCTGTCTTATTACCGGGTTCATAACACAGCCAAACATCTGCCTCCGTCACTATTCCACTGCAGAGCCATGTATCCACAGTTGGTGGCTGATGCCTGCCAGGAATTCCCAGCTCGCTGAATAAAACTTTTCTTTCTTTTTTTTTTGCTCCATCGTCACCTTCTGCTGTTTGCAGTCACTTTAGTTAAAGTATAGTCTAACAACGGTAACCCCTAGGTACAGCCAGCTGATGTCTGTGCTCCCAGACAGATTTACAGCTTTACATCCGTTCACTATTCACATCCTCATAAACCACAGAGAAACAGGCTGTCTCTCCACCCATGTGGGGAGCTGATCTGTTGTCAGTCAGCCAAAACATCATGTCCACCCGTCTTGCTTTTTACCTTCAGACACCTCAAAAATGCCTGAGAGGAGGCGGAGAGAGAGAGGAGGAGGAAAGGGGGAGAGCGGACACTGTGGGGCTAAAATTTCCACTACTGAGACAAATGGTCCCTGCCGGTCGATGTTCATTCCCCCTTTTGACATCCCAAGGCCAATCTGAGGAGGCAGAGGGCCTGTAAATGCGTGTCTGCATGTACAGCCGTGATTTTGATGTCCTACACTTGATAGACCCTAGCCAGGCATCAGAGGTAATGGCCCACCAGGGAAACCTGATACCTGAGCCTGCATGGACCATCCATGCCTGCACGCAGCTCATTCCTAAAGCCGTGATGCTATTTTGTTAGAGGTCAGTTTTGCGGTTGTTAAGCCCCGGTGGGAGCTGCTGTCCTGAGCAGAATTCATGTGTTTATGTGTGTGTTCCAACATCATTAAAGCCGGTTGTGCTTGATTACTGCAGCTCTCTGCATAACTGACCAGTCAACCGCCCCTTTGATGTGCCCCTGGGGTCCCTGCAGACACCCACCTCAGATTCTTTTCTTCTATTGTCTGGATTTTCAAAAGAGAGCTACTTTAAAATGAAATAGTTGGTGCCCACAAGGGAAAACAATGCGTTGAGACTTACAGGGAATACATTGTTACACTGATGTGGGGAAAAAATAAGTACATCCAGTGGGGATTTTTTAACTTTTTCATCATATTTTTTCCATCAAAGTATGAATTCTGCATCTTAAATCTCAAAAAGAAGAGAGCACAGTTATAGAATGGCCTGTTCAAAGCCCAGATTTGAATCCAGCTGAAATGTTGGGGGATTTAAAATGAGTTGTATATGCAAGGAAAGCCATAAATCCTGCATATGAAGGGAATTTGAGTGATTCCAATCTTTTGACATCCAACATCTTAGCCACTCATTTATTTTTACTTCCATGTTTAGGATCAGTGTTAAAATTCTCAGCCTCATATTCTGAGCGTTTCACAGTCAGGCTGATCTCACTATCGTTCTTTATGTTGCCTAAAACTCTACCTAAGCTTTCCAGTGTATCGTAGCCGATTCTGTGGTTCAAAAATCAGGTAAGCTATGGATGCATCAGACTTTTGTATTATGCTTTTTTAATTTGTATTTCTTGCACGTGCAAGAAATATATCTGTATCACCTTTATTTCCAGTGGTCTTGATTTTGAATCCAGTTTTCTTTCTATTTTTGCTTTAAAAATCTGCCTTCAAAATCATTTATGCATGCTGTGTATCGACTTTACAACCTGCTTTGCTTGTTTAGAAGAAGAGGCTAAATTAATAACGGATACGACGCTAACTTAAGAGGCCAAAGTGTACATAGTTTTTTTCCACCAATGCTTTTTTACAGCTATTGTCTTTAAATACACAAACAAAGGAAAAGCAAGCTTCTGTTCTTCAAGTACACTACTAAAAAGCTTGCAGTTTTTTCCACCAATAATTTTTTACATCCATTGACGTAAATCAGTTGAAGTAATTTTCTTTGTAGTGTTGTTTAGTACCACCGCAAAACTAACAATTTAGCTTGCACTTGCTACAAAATGTTCCTTTTGCACTACAGACAGTAACGCAAGTGTTTGAGTCCAAAGTGTACTTACTTATTTCACTGAATAATTTCACACACAGTAATAAATCTGTTGAATAAATAAGTGAAAAAAGCTAATTATCCTTATGCTACTGTTGAGGTAGACCACCAAGAACCTAAAAATGTCGTTGGAAAGTGTTACACTTTATTCAAAAACAATACGAGGATGTACGTACATGGCACTGTAAGGCACAGTAACACATGTCCACACCCTGTGGATTTAATATTCCATTAACAGGCAGGAACAACTGCTACATTCTTCAATATCACAATCAAATAATTTGTTTGCTCTGAGGTGTTTGCAATAATATGTCACTGCAATCTCATAAAGCCATTAACCTTTCTGTCTCAGGCACCCAGAGTATTTTCTCTCCGCCTAATTTACTTTCCAGCAACCTGACCCAGTAAGTATACCCACAAATCCCTTCTGTGTTTGCAGACTGAGACGTACGACACTGTCACACACTTTAAAACCGACTGTCCAGGAGAAATACGTTATTGGTCCCTAGTAATTAATTCACAACGACTGTAGTATGCACTCACCTATGTACACATAGTCGGAGGGTATTACTCCTCTGTGGGTAGGGAAGGCCTGCAAAAGTCTGTTCAAATAGCTGGCAACAAACTCAGCGCCAAGAGCTTTTAACTCACAAAGCTGTTTAGGGGAAAAGAGACAGAGCTACTACATGGCTGGACCTTAGCTTGGCAGGAGAAGCAGAGGGACTGCATGGTACAGACACTTTAAATGCACTCATTCTCCTCTTCTTCTCGCAACAGTAATTATCCTTCAGTCATACAGCGCAACAATGAAAGCTCAAAATCTTGCCCCTCTTATCCTCCCTCGGTGGCCTTATTCCATTCTCTGTAGCGTCACCATTACATCTTTAAGGCTGTTATATATCACACAGTGTCTGCTCTTTACTGCTAAAATTGTCCCAGATAACCTTTGTTGACTTGTGCATTGCTTCACTTTCCTTCTCTTCAGTCTTTATACCTCCGTGTTGGCTGTGAGGCACCTGCCTCAATCAGCTTCCTGCTCTTTACCTCCTGGTGTCATGCTGTGTTTCACACACTCACATTCTCACTTATTACTATAAAGGTTGTTGTTGTTGTTTTTTTACCAGAGAGTTATTTATTGGAAGTGTTGCTCTGCTGCAGATTGCGATGTATGAGTCAAGTATAGCATAGAAAGATAGCTTAAGTATTAGTTAGATCTGTGGAGCACGGTGTCATTGTCCATTCTCAGTATACACTGGAGATAAAAGATGGAGTAGTCGCTGTGAATGGTCTAGCATTGGCTATGGGTGTCAGCTAACGCTAGCTATTTGGTTGCATTCAGGCATTTTAACATGGAAGCTAACAGGGTTTGAAACACTTATGGAGCCAGCCGTAAGTGTTCACGAGACTCATTAAAAGTCTTTGGCACCCAGAGGTTGTGTACTTATTTTCATGAAGAAAAAGGTATTTCCTCTTTGTCACATTACTGATGTGTTACGATCAAGGGTAATAAACGCTACCTGCTAGCCAAAACTAGCACTAGACTAGCATGGTTTTTATATGGGCTACAGAACTTTAAACTGCATGCTGAGGAAGCTTAATTGCAATAAATGTATATTGATAATTTATCACATTGCACAAACACATCTTGGTTGCACATCTTACAACAGTAATCTTTCCTTTTATACCTGAAGTTGGAAGATTTCTGAGTCATGAAATGAAATGATCATGATGTTTATAAGTTTTTTTTTAAGCCTTGAAAAAAATATCAAGCTTGGCTGATTATTTAGCTTATAATATTTAGTGTTTATGTTGTGTTTTTTTTTAAATAAATAATGGAGCGGTCAAGTCAAGTCAAGTTGGCTTTATTGTCACTTCAACCATATACAGTTTAACAGTACACAGTGAGGCGAAACAACGTTCCTCCAGGAACCAAGGTGCTACATGCAACATAAATTTACAACATAAATTAACAGAAAACACTAAACTAGCTAACTAAGAGGCCTAGTTAGCTGTAAGTCCACATTAATAGATGCATGAAACGTTTCGGTCTCTACGAGTTCCTGATAGTAATAACCTGTTTCTTTAGCCACTGCTGTAGGTAGTGTAGAGCAGCTTGTGTCTGGGAGCTCATCACAATGTCACATACATGCATTGTTATCTCTGTGATAATAAAAGTGTTTACTATAGACTCGGGATGTGTTTGGGAGTTGTTTTTCCATGTTAAGGTTGAGAAAGATGCTGGCCTCCTCCCGAAGCTGCTAAATCAATACATTCA